CCCTCCCCCCTCTGCATATCTTAGTCTGTTAATCTCTTCTCTCAATCACTTGTTCCTTGATCAATTTCTTGCTAATTTCTCTCACTAGACAACATCCATAAAGACAAAAAACTTCACAGACCAAACAGCAAGGCTGCCTACGTAGTGAGAAAGCTGTAAAGCATCAACTTTAGCCAACAGCAAGCATAAAATCAAGTGAAACGCGAAACACCAAACTTTCGCCATGAACCAATCTGATATAACAGCAAAATCAACAAGTATTTTCCAATTATCAATTATGACACCAGAATGATTCCGAAACTAGTGTCCCAACTCACTTCATGCTCGATGCTATCTCTCTCCTTCTCAGTGGTGCGATGAAGATCCGTGTAGTCCTTCCTATGCTTCAACAAAAACTGATCCAGCTCTCCAATACTCTCCAGCTACAAACAAAGACAAAAAAAGGTCACAACACTAAATAAAATCAGCACTGCTCAACACACAGTACAAACATAATCACTGCTTAGTGCTCACTAAAATGAACAACAACACGAAAGCTAAACCTAAACCTACCGTCTTCAATGCAGCTTTGGAAAATGGGGATCTTTGTGGCGGTTTATGAATAATGAAGGATGCCAAAATGGACGCCAATTTAGCCTGCAAAAGACAGAAACCCTAATTAGATGATCCGAAACGTGACATTTTGAGAAATAATTAAAAAGATAGAAAAACAAGGATTTGAATTGGAAGAAGAGGAACCTCGTCGTAGCCGAAAGAGCGTGCGGTGTGGCGCACGGCGTCTTTGAAATCCTCGGTTCTGTCCCTCGCTTTTCCCATCTCGCAACTGCTGTGGATCAATGGAGATGAGAAGAAGCGAAGGAATCAACTTATCATAGAATTCAATGAATTTGGATTTCGCAATTGCAATTATTGTATCGAAGAAAGAGGTTGAAGGGAATTCTGCGAAACCTAACCAAACAGAAGAAAGTGTCTTCTTCAAATCTAAATGCTTCGTTTCATGCCATAATCTAATTATTTTTCCTTCATTTCTTTTCAAAATACCTCAATGACTTTCATGTAGCTTCTTCCTCAATTTTACCTTCTACTTCTTATAATTAAAATTATTCAATTTTAATAAATAGATACCATCTTTGTTTTTTAACTCATTAAAATTACGTAAACTTTACCTCTTAATTTTTTTTATAGAAATAGAAGACAAATATTAAAAATAAACAAAAATAGTCGATATAAAGTCTAAAATGGATTGTTTTCAACCATAAAGTCAAAAAAAAGTAAAATTTTTGAAATTATAATTAGTCTTTTATTTATAATATAAATATATGAGATAACTTTTAGTATAATTTTTTTTATTAAATAACTTATTTTTTAAATTAAATTTTAATAATTCAACCGTTAAATCAATTTTTTTAATAAATAAAGTAAGTATATAAGTTTTTTTAATTTAAAATTATTTAATATTTTATTATATTAATTCAAATTAACATATAGTTATAAAATTATATTATACATAAATATATAATGTGTTCGAAAATGCATTATTAATATTTCCTATCTTCATAGGACATTTAATATGAATGTTATCTTATAGTCAAATCACATCAACATTTGGGTTACTATCAAAAAATAATATTGATGTAAGACAGGACATGAGTTTAATTTTGGCACATCTTTGAAGAGAGTTGAAAAACTTTAAACAAGAATAAACTTGGATTGGGGATTAATTTTATAGCCAACCAAAAGAATATTTTGAATTCTATTTAAGAGTCAAGGTCCTAATTAGAATGGTATGCATTTCGAGTCTTGATATATAAATGGGTTAAATATTTGAAAGAAAAATTATATTATTTATAATAGTTTTATCTGCTTTGAAAATTAAGTGAAAGATATTTGTGTTCTATAAGAAAAAGTCAACTCTTATTGAATGCTTACACCAACTTTGTATAAAAATTAAACTCATATAATCAATGAATTAAAACAACTCATATTTCATTAACTTGTTTAAGTTACATTTTTGCTAATGAAACCTTTGGTTGCCAAATCTAAAAGCTGGGTTGTCAAGAGCACAGTTGTATTTGCAGAGAAAAGAGTGAAACCCAAAAATAAGAAAGAACAAAAAAGGAATTTTCCTTGAAATTGAATTGAAGCTGAGTTGTCCCGCGTGAATTGAGTAAAATTGCTCTGCCCCAAGAGACTCAGATTTTGACTGCACGGGGATAAGTAAGCTAGTGGAGTCCACCAAGGGTCATGTGATATTAGTTTTCCTTTTTCTTATTATTTAACATTTGATGTAAGAAAGGAATAACGGATAAATGCATATATTTATATTTAAATAAATTTTGGTATTTTATAGTCAAAGTTGTTGGTAGGAATAAGATTAGACTTATTTCCATAAACAAAGTTTTAGGTTTAAATCTTATATATATATATATATATATATAAAGTATGATTAAGAAAAAAAATCTCACTATTTAATCAAATTTCTTAATAAATATTAGTTATACACAAATTCGATAAATATTTAGTATCATTATCTGTTAAAAGGAAATTTTTGGTATTCTATTTCTAATGATAACTAGTTTTACATCATTTGTTTATACGAGAAAAAATGTTTCAATCATTTGAAAAGATGTGAGTTCAGGTGAATTTTGAAAAGCTAAAGAGTGAGGAACCTATAAAGGGACACAATTCATGACAGAGAGTGTTATGGGGAGGGAATATACTCAGAGAAACAGAAACAAGTTTCAGCATCATCGTCCAGTCATGTTCAACATCAGTTACTTTCCATAATGTCATCACTGAGTGCCTTATTTGGTTTCCCAGTTGTATCCATAAGAAACAAAATTCATGAGTCTCAAATAATAATATAATATAGAGCCGTTAACACGTTACTTTTTGGTTACATGAGACTTTTAGGCACTCCTCATTTATTAACTTATTAGAACACTTGTTTCTACATCCCTCATTTCCCCTCCACACTTTAAAGGCTTTATGCAGAAAACAGCATGAATTTGATTATTGTGGAGCTCTGAAAGACTGAAACAGTCTTCTATGTGTTGTGCTTCCTTTCATGCACTCCTTTGAGCCTTTGGCTTTTGCATGCAACTCTGGTCGCTTGAGATCAAAATGGTATGTGGGTTCACCTTGATATGTGTAATTCAGTGTTTGACTCGGGTTTTTCATTTTTATCAATTTTTACTTAAGAAATGCTCATTTTTACCCCTTAATGCAAGACTTATATTTTGTTTGAATGCTTTGGGGCTCTTGACACAAACAAGGGAGATAATTGTTTTGTGATTATAGGTTTCTCATGATACTCAAAAATCTTGATCTTTTCCTTGCTTTTTATTTATTTATTTATTTTTTATAGATTTTCTTTGGTTTTTGTTTGGAATGTCGGGTTTTGAGACTTACAGTAGTTCTACTCGATTCAAATAGGATTGTCCAAAAAGAATGAGGATACTTGAGGTCTTTTCCCTGGCAAACTAAGAAACAAGGAATGGAAGGAATGTAAGAGAGGAAAAGAGAAAGTTCCAGCCAAAGAAGAAAACATGAGCACACTGAGGAAAATTAGAGTTGTGTACACTGACCCTGATGCTACAGATTATTCAAGTGAAGAAGATACTAAGTTACTGAGCAACGGCTATCAGTTAAATTCTAAGAGGGTTGTCAAGGAAATTTTGTTTCCATGCATGCCAAGCAAATTACATGTAGAGAATTCTTCTCAAGAAGATGTCAATAGTGAAAAGAACAATGTAAGTTCTGGTCCTTTTGCAAGTAGGAGGAGCAGGAAATCATCAAGCATGTACAAAGGTGTTCAACGCAGGAAATGGGGAAAATATGTGGCAGAAATTAGAGATCCTATCCGTGGGGTCAGAATGTGGCTTGGTACTTTTGACTCTGAAGAAGAGGCTGCTATGGCTTATGAGAGAAAGAAAAATGAGTTTGAAAGTTCTTTGTTGGCTTTGAGCAAAAGGGGTGCATTGGCTTCTTCTGAAAGTGCCAAAGAAGTGTTGTTTCATCCATCTCCATCATCAGTGCTTGATGTTAGCACTACAAAAGCTCCACTAGATGTTAATGATGGTTCAGTCAAAGAAAAGGTCAACGTGGAAGCAAGTGGTGAAGGAAGAGGCAATAATGTGGAACCAGATTATAGTGAAGATGATTCAATTCAATATTTGCTAGAGGAGCCAGTTGTGCCATCATTGGTTGGTCATGATCTCTATTTGGATGAGGTGGAGAAAGGGGCAATGCTGCTTGGTAATGACTTTTATAATTTCTTGGACAATGACATCAAAGATGGTTCTATGTGGAATGTGAAACATGAGGAAGGCAACATCCTTTCCCCTGTAGACAGTGCTTTTGATGAGTTATCTTGGATCGATGAAACTCTAAATTGGGAATGCTACTAAAATTTTGTAGTTATTAAATAGTGAAACTAGTGGCCACAATTATTAGAGTATATAGGTAAACAAAATGAGTGGAAGCATTTGTATTTAATTGTTGAGGCATTATTCTCAATTGTCACAAAAGCTCTTAGGATTTTTGCCGCTGATTAGAGTAACTACATGAAGGTTTTCAATTTTGTCATGACACTAAATTTGTTTCATATTTTCTTCAGACAAATTGTGAGTCCTCTCACCTCTTCAATCTTTTCCTTCTTATTATGTTCACTTTGAAAAGACATTGTTCCGAGCCGTACTTTATTTGGTTTTGGCTACTGTTAATGCTTGGAAAATCAAATCAAAAAGAAAATGCCAAAGTAAAGGTAAAAGAAAAAGCATTATAATCACAAGGAATAAATGTTCCCCTCATGAAAATTTTTAGCGACTAATTCCCACTTTCACGTGCGCAAGGACTAATTAGTAATTAAACATGAATCATTTGAAAATATTCCCATCTATTCCTGCTCTGAACATAGGGTGGTTGAGAATCACCATGGAAATGGTGTGAATTCTCATAAAATCTGTTGCAATAAGATAATGAGCTTATGAGATTAGACCATTTTTCGAGTCTATTTGGATGGCATTTATATTGTTATATTTTTACATCAAACTAAGATAAAAATAATGTCACTAAGATAATGGGCTTATGAGATTAGACCATTTTTCGAGTGTATTTGGATGGCATTTATATTATTATATTTTTACATCAAACTAAGATAAAAATAATGTCACATCTTCATGTATCAAGTTGGTTAACCATGATACATAAATGGTCATAAACTCTTTTAGTATTGAGTTAAAAAAAAAAAAAAAAAAAAAAAACTCTACGGTGGAGAAAGGTATATCAAATTTGCACGTGGATTTTTTAAAATATATAATTTGATAGTTTTTTTCTTTTTGTTTTCCTGTTGGACGGTTCTCCTTAGCAGGTAAGGGGATGATAAGACAACAAAATACGTCTTTTGGTTGAATCAGATAACAGTCTTTTTTATATTATGTGTTTGATTTTTGTTAAAATAGCCTAATGATAGTTTGGCTTTTTAGTAAAATTTCCTTTCACATTTTCTTCAATACGTGTAATAACTCAACAGATAAACAACCACGGCCTAAGACGTGATCAAAAACTTGTGCTAACAAAGAAGATAGAAAACAAGCATGGTGTGACTAAACTTTTTAAGTATAATAATTAGGAGCTGCAATGTGTAACTGAAAAATATTTCACATGATGTTTGAAGAATTGGAATTCCTATTTGAAGGAGCTGCATATATTAAGAAAACTCTCCAGAAGATTAGTAACAATGGCAGCCAATCTATCTAGGAATACCAGTAATATTTTAGATACACACCAACTGCTCTATGAACCTCGAAACGAGAGGTTACCTAGCACGCTCACTACGCAGAAAGTTCTCGATGAATTGAATCTTAGAGGACTTCCAAGTTCCAAGCAACATCAAAGCTAGGAAGGAGGGTTTGCAGATTTGTTGCAGCATGATGTTTATCAGGTGAAATTCACGGTTTAGAGCTTACAGGCTACTTTACCATGTAAGGAATCATCAGAGTAAGAAATCTTAAAAACTGATAGAGATGGACATCAATGCTACGATTCAATGAGATTTTCAATGGCAGCAATGCTTAAACTGTCCTCAATCTCCATATTTGTTAATCAGCTTAATGCTCAGTCCTCATACATACTCTTTGTAGATGATTTTAAGAATGAGAATATTCAGCACAGGGTTGGAATTGCATAATGAGGCAATCAGGATACATTGTCGTTGTTTACAAAAGCCAATTCACATACAACCGCTAGGTGGTCACTTCCCCATTTCTACAAGGCAAGACAGAATCATAAAGATATTGATAATCCAAAGTGGAACAAAATACATAAGCACATCGGCGGTCAAGGTTCCAAGAACCAGCTTTAAGTAGATTACCTCACTAGGGAGTCCTCTAGATCTTCTAAGAATATCAATGGGCAAGGTTTCAAGAACTCTAACTGGAATAAGATCCTCGGAATGCCTGCTTACCAAAAGTCATCAGTAACAACAAAAACAATTTGTAAATGCAATAATTTTGGCGTTTAGTGTGAAAACATATAAGTACCAGATATAATCAACAGTTCCCATGAACTTGGAGTGGTATGATGTTGCCAAGGGCTCTCCAATGTTATCTCTTGTTCTGTGGTTTCCCTGCAGCCACAACTATATGAGATTTATGAAGATTAAGTAGGAAATATCACAACTGTTGTGAACTGTTTGAATATCCAATGAAAAATTTCTGGAGTTTCCCACATCTATGTTTCATGGACAATCTTTATATCACAATCACAATGAACTGATGAAGTTGCAGAAATAGTTGATTGAAACAATTTTATTGAAGTTGGATTAGAATTGGGAATATAGCTGACAGATTAAAAGGCCTACAGGAACACCACTATAAGCACTGCAGAGTTTGAGCTGGTGCTGAAGATGAGTGACTCCTTCTGCCCCAGTTGCAAGTCTTAGTTCTTCCAAACTCCATCTGTATAGCAATTGCCTTGAAACAGACATTGAAATGCTGCACAACATACGCAAATAATTATTACCAAATACCTAATACCTAAAATTTAACATAAATAACAATGGCAAATACGTGCAACAGAGACAACAAACTACTTTTGAGTGAAAATCTTGCTTAAGAGGAAAGATCTCAGCTCTATAACTTAAATACAAATATGGTACAAAAGGAATCTTGTAACTAGGGAAAG